GTACATATAGACAGATACAGGAAGGAAGGAAGGAAGGGAGGAAGGGAGGAAGGAAGGAGGGAAGGAAGGAAGGAGGGAAGGAAGGAAGGAAGGAGTGTGTGTTTGTGTATATGTACTTGTGTGTTTCTACTCACTCAGGTGACAGGCACAGTGATAATCCCATTACAATATGCACACTCAGATCTTAGTTTCTGAATACCATTTTTTTCTCACCAAAATGGTAGAAATGATCAGACTAGAAAATCACTTTTTGGCAGCTATCATAGGATCATTAATTTGGTCAACAGTTATCAATGGAAAGGTCATTGAGAAATAGAACATTTGTACAGTCTAAAGTATCACCTCACAAAATACTCACTGTAAAGTAACTTTACAGTGGGGAAATGTGGCGGATACTACCTTAATCAAGTGATTTAAGCTCACATTACCAGTCAAGGAAAACCACTGAAATAGTATACCACGCGATAGCATACAACGAGAGGAGTTCTTATGTGGTGTTCCTGCTGAAAATTGGGAACTTGAGTCTAATCAAAGGAAATTATCAGATAGACCCGAACTAAGGAACATTCTACAAAACTGGCCGGGAATCTTCAAAGTGGTCAAGGAAATTTTCAGGAATTCTAGATTGAAATAGACCTCATGAGATATGGCTGCTCAGTGCAATGTGAGATACTGGGGTAATTGGAGAAAGTCAAATCTGGTCTGCGCGTTAGATGATGGTACTATATCAGTGTTAATTTCTGGATTTTGGTGGTCATAATCTTTGCACTTCTGTAGGAGAGTGTCCTTGTATAGAAATTATTCACTAAACTCTAGGAGTGACTGGCTGTTTCCTTGGCTACTTTCTCTCAACTGGTTCAGGGAAATGAAGTTATGTGTGGCACTTTTCTTTTTGTAGGTTGGGCTGATGTTATTGAACAAAACAATCCCCCCTTCTGTTAGTTGATTTAGCAGTTCAAAATTGTTTGCTTATCAAACAAATCACTGGGAAGGTTTAAGGGGTTTGCTTCTCTGTGCTGTGTTGACTTACAGCTGCCCAAGTCGTGTGGCTTCCCCTTACATCTTGATTGTCTTTAGATGTTTGTTCTGCTTGTAGCTGTTTCCTGTCGCCTCACTGAAGTGTTCTTTTCCCCAGTCCATTCTCGTAACCTGTGCTTTGTCTTTGTACAAACTGCTTCTTTCAGCGGGACAGTGCGGTTTACAAAAGTGTGACATTTTACTTTGTACAGTCCTCTGATAATTCGGTCTTTCATTTTACCTTACTGTGTTATGCAGTTCTTTTCTCCTCACTCCGCTAGTGAGCTATTTATATTTAGGCTTTCTTTCTTTTTTGAAGATTTTATTTATTTATTTTTAGGAAGGGAAGGGAGGGAGAAAGAGCGAGAGAGAAACATCAATGTGCGGTTGCTGGGGGCCATGGCCTGCAACCTAAGCATGTACCCTGCCTGGGGATCGAACCTGCGATGCCTGGTTCGCAGCCTGTGCTCAATCCACTGAGCTATGCCAGCCAGGGCGCTTTCTTTCTTTTTCACCATGCTGTACCTTCCTCAGAACTGAGCATGTTTCAATAGGCTTTTAGTAAAAAGTGTTGGGCTGGTTGATTGCTATCTTAGAATTTAGAGTTTTCATAAAGTGTCAGCAGGGCAAAGGGAATTTGATAGACGCCGTGGAGAATGTGATACTGTACTGATCCGTAATCTAGTCAGCTCACACCTGTTGTTTGTGAGTGGTTAGTTCCCAAAAGTTTAGGATTAAGCATATTAGAACCAAGTTGGTCCTACTCTAAAAACGAGTGTAATTCAGAACGGGGGTGGGGTAGGTCTCGGGAGAAGGTTAATTGTCACAGCAGCCTTCTCTTTCTGAGCACGGCACATGTCAGTTTTGTGTTTGGTAGAATCTGTTTTTTCCCCTCAGCCGGGAAAACCGTGGGCTGAAGGCCTTGCGTTGCCCCCCATCCCCACCTCGTACCTTCTTTTCTTTGGTGGAGCTGAAGTCCATCCGAGGGCTTGTTTTCCAGATGCGTTGGAGGACATACTTCTCTTCAGCAGTTACACTAATTTTCATGTTTCTCTGAAGGACCAAGGAATAAAGCTTTTAAAAACCCAAAGTGGCAGTTACTTTGCACTTAGTACACACCCACTCATACAGACTTTGCTTGAGCATTTTATTTTCTTTCTTTTTCCTCACTGCCTCTACAGTGCAGGTGGCCTTCCCCGGATTGCTTTTGACAAGGAATTGAGCAACCTTTATTTTTTGGAACAGAATATAATAAAGACATTTTACTGCTGAGAGAAAAGAAAATGAAGTGTTTATGTCTTGAAATTTTAGGATGAGTTTTTATTTAAAGACCAATCTAAGTCTAGAAAAATGGAGGTAGGGGTTAAATTTCATATTGTGCACTAATATTTCTCAACCTTCTTTGTAATTTTGGAGCCTTTCATTTTTTTTTTTCCTTTCCTCTTTCCTCTCCCTCCTCACCTCTCCCTTCCCCCTCCTTCCCCTCCCCTCCCCTCCCACCCAGCTTTGGGGACCTTTGTACTAGCCAGATCATTGGGGAGCTTTACTGAATGGCGCGCCTTTGCCAAGGCAGGGCTAGCGTGCCCTCTAGATTCAGGATGCCCATTAAAGCAGTGTAGAGCCGTCACACCTCCACTACAGGAAGAAAACTGGGGAAGGCAGCCTCAGGCAGAAGCCAGAAAAATACCGAACTGCTCAAAGATGACTTCTTAATGTCCATCAGTGACCAAGAGAACAAAACAAAGTAATTTTTGTTTTACTGAGCAAAGTAATGTTGTGGCCTTTGGACCTTCCTTTCTGTCTACAAAAAGAAAAAGAGGAGAGGAGAGGGGAGGGCAGGGCAGGGCAGGGCAGGGCAGGGCCAGAGAAGAGCTTCATAGGACTCCCATACAAGCCCTTGCATGACCACTCCCTTTGGCATTAAGCCCCCAGGACAATGAGGTTCTGGCCCACATCTAAAAATCTTGCCTCAGGTGTGTTGAGCTCAGAGCCAGAGTTCTGGTCAAACTAGAGATAACATCTAGGCCTCAGTCGTGTTTCAGCTCCAGGCCCAGAAAAGCAGCAAAACCAGACAGAGTGTCGCCATGGCTGACATCAGGACCAGCTGCTCTGACTCATGACCCCCTATCCTAGTGTCAACCAATTAGTTGAGAACCTGACCCTAAAAGGACACACCTGGAGAACTGGTGAATCGTCTATTGAGATCTTGCCCTGAGACAACCCCTAACATCCCCACCTTTGAAAAACAGATAAAACCTGCTAGAACAAGTACTCTTGAGAGCACCCAGCTGTCCCCCAACCCCTTCTTCCCTCAGGCACGCTCGCTCTCTTTCCCTCTAGAGCATGCCCTCGCCTTTTCTCCACCCTCTTCCCCTCGAGGGGGGTACCCTTGCTTGCTTTCTCCTGAGCTCCAAAGGGCCTTCTTTTGCTTCTTGTTCCCTGAGTCCACACAGCCCAGCTGGCTCACGTCTACCTCTGTGACTTTCTGAATAAACTTTCACTTGTATTTGAGTTCTTGGCTCTGAATTCTTTCCTAGCCAAACTCAAGGACCGAAGTCTAACTTTACCAGTAACATCTGATGTTGTTTTGCCATGAACAGTTCTTGCTCATTAATTATGATTAACCAAAGTATGTATTTTGAGTATTACAAGTTTCTTGACCCATTCTGTGGGTGCAGCCTGTAGGCCAGTATGTAAAAAATGCATATTTTGCATGTTTTATTATCTGGGATATCTGACTCAGAATATCCTTTATAGGTTTTTCCCCCAAATTTTTGTCTGGTGCTTATACCATTTGATGATGGTAGGAAAGAAAAGACCTGTAGCAGGGTCCTCCCAGTCTCTGTACATAAGATGTTAGCGTGGGGACATAGCACGCCTTCAGTGAGGCTCGTTTTGCATGCAGTTAAAGTGAGCTTTGAGCACCTTTATTTTTGGCTGAATAACAATGGGAGTCCCACTACCCAAGTGATTGGCTGGGAAGTGGAACTTTTCTTTTTTTCTGCATCAGGTGTTGGGACAGTCTGTGAGTGAGACTAAGTTCTGGTTCTCCTTACTCTTAGCTTCTGTTTTCTATGTTTTGGAACAGGGTTTGGAAGTTAAAATAGTTTGCACTACTGTGTCACCTCAGCAAAAACTTAAAATTGGTTTCTTGAAAGCTCTTATGGATGTGTATAGTCTGAGTTATTGTAATATTTTTAGAATAGGTACATGTACTACAAATTATTAATATTGGGCATGTATGTGCATTCTTTTTAACTAATCATTAGCTTAGTAATCACAGGACATGTTTCTGACTGCAGTGGGAACCTGTAAACTTACCCGAAGTGACCAGTATGAGAACGGCGGAGTTTCTGAATAATCAGAATGGCTGGTTGCTTTGGACTAAGGTTTCTCAGCCTTAAGGTTATTGGCATTTTGGGCCAGATAATTCTTTGTACTGGAGCTGTGCTGTGCATTGCAGGATGGTTGGCAGCTTTCCTGGCTTCTGCCTGTTAAATACCAGTAGCACATCCCCTTCTTCTGTCGTGACAGCCAAAAGTGTCCAGGCATTTCAGTTGCCTGTTGAGAACCACTTGTTTGAGAACCATTTGAGAACCACTGGTTTGGGACAGTGGGTGCCACAGGCAGATAGATGATAGACTAACTACGTCAAAATCACCTTTTGTTGGGGAGGAAGGGTTTCTTGCTCATACAGGTTCTGGGGTTTCTCCCCATCTGTCTAGATGCTAAATAGCCAGGTTTAAAAATTTGTTGTGTAAAGTGGTAGTGGTTATTAGTTGGCTTACATCTCAGTGTGTTGAACTGCATATAGAGAGATTCCAAGTGAAAGAGGATTTTAGAGGTAAAGTATAACATTTCACAATTATGATTTCATTTCTGGCAGGGGTTTCCCGCCTTTATTCCTATGAAGTACAGTTGTATATTCTTTCAAACTTAGAAAATAACTTATTATACTGAAATTTATAATTATTTTAATCTAGGTTTTGAGAGAATACCTCAAGTTGGACTCCAAAGCAAGATTTACTGCTGACTTTGAAGTGGAAAAGGGTGAGTTGGTAGATTAGTCACAAGTTGTGTTGGGGGAAGGGACTGTCACTCGAACGTTCATTCTTAGAAGAACCTGCCGCTTACAGCAACATTTTGATGTAGCAAATGTGGACCCTATATTTTTTCCCCATTGGTTTTTCCTCCATTGTTTTATTTCTGAGAGGCAGAAATGAACACAGAGAAGAGGGTAGCTCCTGTGCAATTTTCGGTTGTCATCTTTATAGATAAAATAGTTCAAATATTTTTCTGACTATTTAAATTAGTACTGTGAAGGTTTTTGTGTATACTTATGCTTCCACTCCATAGTAAATGCATTTCAAAAAATCTTTTATGTGTTTATTAAAATGTGATGGGAGTTTATACCTCAGCCCATGTTCAAAATTAGAATCGTGTTAATGCTGATGCATTGTTATATAATTTGAAATACCAAGCATATCCTGAAAAACTGAGAGATCGTTGGATAACCTGTTTGACTGACAATGTATATTTGATCTTGCAGTGGTTGTGCTTGGGTACTGCTGGGTAGAAACCCAGTTCTGTCCTAGGCCTCTCCTAACATTTTAGTGGACATTTCTCAAAATATTTTAATCAGTTGTAAAAGGGTATTCTCATTGAGAAAAATAACAGCTTACTTTGAAAGAGACTTTTTTACAGGCTGAAAATGCTGTAATATGCTAAACTCATAAATTCAGATAAAACAAGTGGTTTGGGGTTGCAGAGGTTTCTTTGCTTTTCTTACTTGTTCTTAAACTTCACCTCAGTAAGCTGCTGAAACAAAGGCCTTGGGATTTTTCTTATCAGCTGCTTTGTCAAGGGCAGGAGCCAATTGCCTTAGGAGTCAGCTCTTCCGGAGCTGCTGCTTCCCTGGAAGGCTGGTCAAGGTTACCCGAAGCCCTCTGTGTAATCGAGGGCACTGCTTTCAAAGTGGCTTGCTATTTCTGACTTTCCTTGAATTTCGGTTAGAGAAATTGGGGAGTGATTATCTCTGAAAATGTTTTAAATTACATTAGGACACTTTCTTGGTAGCATGTACTTGACCTTCCCAGCATCCATTCTTTTTTAATATAGGTGGAATTTAGGAAAGAATTTTAGATCTCTATAATTTTTCTCCATGAAAAACTAATGTTTTTTATTAGCAGCACAAATGAGAAACTGCCTTTGAGAGTATGGCGTCTTTGGAACTGTCAGGAATTCCTTCGTGGTGAGCAAGCAGCCTGCAGGCGTGCTCCGTGAGGGAGGCTGTGAAGGAAGGGAAATCGGTGCCTACTGTTGAGAGGCCTCTCCTCCTCACCTCAGTTTTGTACGCCGTTTTCCAGACTGATTTTTTTCCCGGGAACTTGTTCCTGGGAACTTGTGTAGAAATGTGCACCTTCAGTGCAGTCTCCTAAGGTGTTTTAAACACTTCTAAATAAATAATTGCTGGTTGATAGACTTGATATACTTGAATGTGACAGTTTTTAGCACAGGCCTTAAGTTTTAGCTTTATTATGAGGCCAGGCTTGTTTAAGAAGCTTTGATGTAGTAGCAGCTACACCTTGTCTTTTGAATTAATTGTTTAGTTTAATAACCTAAGCACTTAAATCACGTTTTTCTTAATGACAGAGATACCGATGAGGCTGGTACTGTGTGTCCATTGGGTCAGGCGGCAGGTTGTTCTCTTAGGCGCTCGTACTTGCTCGGGTCTACTCAGACGACGGACGAGGGAGGCCGGGCGTGGCGAGTTTCCTGCACCTGCTGGAGGTGGGACTCTTTCTGGGCCTTCTGACTGTCCAGTCCGTCTTTCCCAAGTGCCCTCTGCTTAAGGGATGCCTAAAACCACTCCCTTCCTCTGAAGGAAAACAAAAATCCAAAACGACACACGCACAGAAATCAAACTCACAAAACCTTATTAAATCTGTTGTTTTTATACCTTTTTATTTATTTATTTTTTGAGTAGTACTGTTTTAGAATTACAAAATTTAATTAAGACAACACACTTTTCCCCTCCTCTTTAAAAACTTTTTAAATTGCTATATTGTTTGTAAATAGCCAGCAAGAAACATAGAATGATGTTAATTGATAGTGATCTCTAAATTATGCATTTTAAGTGTTTTTCCAAATATTCTATTTTAACTTCAGATTTTCCCTTTGTTATATAGATAATTATGCTCTCATAGGTAGGTTAGCTATTATTTAATTTTTTCAGTTATCTCAGCTAAGTTACTGCATCCCAGGCTTCAGATTTTAATTGAGGGAAATTTGGAAAGCTGTCCATTTTCTTTTCTTCAAAATAAAAAAGAATAACATTGATCACATTTACTTAGACTAGAGTAATACACAAAAGTAAAGACATACTTTTTTTTTGTTTTATGGGAAGTTCCAACCATTTAGTAAATGAAAAAAGAAAAGAAAAAAATGCATGTTATTGCATTCTACTAGACTTTTCTTGTGTTTTATGTGGTGGTAGCAAGAAACGTAATAATCATACGTTTAGACTAGAGTAACACACAAAAGTAAAGACATATTTTTTTTTTTTTTGTTTTATGGGAAGTTCCAACCATTTAGTAAATGAGAAAAGAAAAGAAAAAAAATGCATGTTATTGCATTCTCCTAGACTTTTCTTGTGTTATATGTGGTGGTAGCAAGAAACGTAATAATCATACATTTAGTGCTCAGTGCCTTCCATGGGCCATCCAGGCAATAGAACAACTATAGCGGATTCAGAGGTCAGTTAAAAAGTGGAAGCCTGGAGCCCTGGCCGAGTTGCTCACTCAGGTGGTTGGAGTGTCATCCCGATACCTCAGGGTTGTAGGTTTGATCCCTGGTCAGGACACAAACAAGAAACAACCAATGAAAGTATAAATAAAGTGGAAAAAATTGATGTTTCTCTTTCTCCCTCTCTCTCCCCTCCCCTTTCTCTTCTTTCTTCCCTTTCTCCCTTCCTTCCTCACTCCCTCCCCTTCCCCTAGTTCCCTTCTCTCTCTTAAAACAATAGATAAAATTTTTTAAAAACAGAAGCCCAGAAATCATTTCTTTCCTATCTCTCCAGCCTATAGACCTGTGACCTTACCCTTTCATGTCCACTAGATGCAACCTATCACTTTTCTCCTCATTATTCTTTTATTAAATAAAGAGTTTATTTATTTATTTATTTATTTATTTTGAGAGAGAAAGAGAAAGGGAGGGAGAAAGAAAGGGAGAGAAACATTGACGTGTGAGAAAACCATTGATTGGTTGCTCTGACTGGGGACCGAACCGGTCACCTTTCAGGTGATGGGACGACAGCCAACCCACTGAACCACAACAGCTGTGGCCCTCCTCAGTATTCTAACAGATGATATCTTCGTTAAAACATAAGAGCTCTTCACATCCAATACAGTTTCCAGTGACAAAGACAGTAAAAAAAAATACAGTAAGACTTTAAATATATTAACTCTAAGAAGAATGAAACTCAAATGTTTACTTTGAGCACACTTGTTAGATTCTTTGGGTCAACCTCAATTGAAGGGTCATGGTGGCACTGAGGATACAAAATGGAGGCCACTTTTTAAGATAAATACTAGATGAAATTGTATGGACTAAATGCTAAGTATAATGTGACAATATTAAAAATGCAGAATAGCAAAGGGGTGATTGCAGAGTTTTCTTTTTATCTTGGCCATGACTAATTTGAGTTGAGTTTGGCAAGCCTTGAGGTCACTTCAGAATTATTTCGTTATGCATATTCATTATGCAAAGCTTTCTTTGTTCTTAGAAAATTATATGAACTTTCTTGGTGTGCCAAATGTTTTTACCAGCCTTTAGGACTGTGATGTGACCCCTTCACATGCTCTAATGCCCTCGTACCCTTTTCCTCTTCAGTACGAACCATTCGTTGTCACCCGGACGGCCTTCGGAAACTTAGAGTGCAGCTGTCCACACCAGATAGAGAGTTGCCTCTTCCAGTCTCACTGTAGGTACAAACCGAGCACATGGGGATAGGAACTGAAGTCAGTTGTCGTCTTGGAGGAGCGCCTTACTTCTTAGCACAGACCTCGCTGTTTTTCTGAGCCTGGGAGTTGTGTGGCTGTGATTCTTTGTGATGCTGTAACGTGACCCACTTTTCTGACGTTCTAATTAATTTAAAATTTTCTGGTAGGAGTGATTTGAACAAAAGTCTTAAGTAAAGAAAGGATCAGAAAGTAGAGAAGCAAGAACATGACCTGTGTGTGAATGTGGGTGATGGTCAGGGTGGGAATTGGTGCAGACTCTGCCCCCCTGCCGCTCCTGCCTGCCCTCCTAGGCTGGGCGGGTGGAAGCCTCTTGGAAGACCTGGCTTCTGGGACCAGATCATAGGGTGGACTAGAGGTGAAACTTGGGGGGAGTTTGCATCTGCCAGTTCTTCGTGACATTCTGGTGTTTCTGAAAGGGTTTAGGAAACTTAGTGCTGGTTTTTTTAAAAAAATTCTGAAACCCGGACTTGAATTGGTTTGTCAAAACCGAAGCACACTTTGCATGTGAAAGGAAGTGGGAAATACCTGCGCTGTTACTCGAGTGGCTTTCATCAAAACTAGGCACTCGAAAGGCCGAAAGGCCGCATGGTGGTGAAGTCCAGCAGGCCGTGTTTTGGGGGTTTCGGGGCTCCTGGGAAAAGGGCTTCATTATGCTCTCTTGGAAATTATCGTTAAGCAAGATAGTGGAGAGATGAAGAGGCCTGGGGAAAGCTACTGCTCCTGTCTGCACGGAACATGCCAGAGCCTCCAGCACCTCGGTGATCGGGAGAGCGTGGGGGGTGTGGGCGTGCAGCCCTTCCACGCCGCGACAGCCTCTGCGGAGCAGGGGTGTTCTCGAACTATTCTCAGCACACGCCTAGCGCCGTGTTCTTCCTGGAACGGCTTCCTTAATCTAAAAAAAAGGACTGACGGGTACTCTGGAAGTTAAATAATGAGTGCTTACTGAAGAACTAATGGACTGATTTTCTTTTCAGGGAGTCTTTTTTTTTTTTAAATAAAGTCTGTAACTTAATTCAGTAAATGACCCTT